ATGCCACTGATCAAGCTTGCCTGCACTAATACCCAATTCCTTGAACTGCTGGATTTTCTCTTGGCCACCTTTACCGTCCTGGGGACTTTAGCCATCACAATCATTTCCTACATTAAAATCATTGCTGCTGTCATGCACATCCCTTCCAGAACGGGCAGGCAAAAGGCCTTCTCTACTTGTGCTTCTCACACTGCGGTAGTTTTCATCACCTATGGGAGCTGCATTTTCATGTATGTAAAGCCCACACAAAGTGGGGGGCTGGACCTCAGCAAAACAGTTGGTGTTCTGAACAATGTGGTCTCTCCTTTGCTCAACCCCTTCATTTACAGCCTGAGAAACAGGCAGGTGAAAACAGCTTTGAAGGATGCTTGTGGATGGAGATGAACATCTTCTAATCAGGGAAGTGGCCTCCTTCAGTATAGGAGCTCCCTGAGGCACATGTGAATGAATGGAACGGCATGGACAACATCGGTTGGACTTTAACGTATAGACTCCATGTCTCCATCTTTAAGATGATAAAGATGATAAACTGAGAGAAAAGAAAGACAGGGGAAAAACACGGGACTTGGAAGAAAACTTTGTTCATCCTTTGTTACCATTGTAGATGCTGCCCAATTAATATGGACCAAATGAAAAGAGGCACCATATGAAAAAGTTCACTCAAGTCATGTTTAGCTGCAGATCAGTTCACTGACACACCTGTGTTAGCTTTGGGGAAAGAATGTGGGAATACCTTACCTTGCTGTTGCCTTCTTTGGGGAAGAGGATGATGAAGTTTTGCTTCCCAGGTAGCATAAATGCAACATTGTAAGCTTTTTTACCTGTAAGCCTGGAAAAAGTTTTTGTGGCTTAGTGTGGTGAGTGAATGGGCCAGTTGGTGTGCTTATGATTCAGTAACTTGGCCATGGGCAGAAAGTGAGCTCACTGAATATCTGTCTGATGTAGAAGTTAAGGGGTTGGATCAGGAGTGTGAAGTCCGAGGTTCAGGTCCACCCTCAGCCATGGGAACATTGGCAGACTTGGGCCAGATCTTCTCCCTCATTCTACTGTCCTCCATCTTGCAGGGTTATCACGGGAATAAAGAGAGATCCCATAGGAGGTATTTTGAGCTCCCACCAATGGCAGAGTTCAAATCTCACAAAATAACATGGTGCACATCCATTTTGAGTAATGTTTTCTATTTTGGTGGATGTTCTCCAAAATATCTATTATGGGAAGACCAAAAGGGCTTAATGTTGCTTCAAAACAAAACAAAACCTTAAAATAAGGAAGTGTATCCAGAATGTTACCAATAAATATTCTCCACTCTATCAGTAATTAAAAGGCTGACTCCATTTTTGTGGTAGGTAAATTAGTATGCCGAGGCTTAATACAAGAGAAGA